GACTGTTATTCGTCATATGAGTTTTATCTATCTATCTATCTATCTATATCTATATCTAATTATAATAATAAATATAATAATAATAATAATAATAATAATAATAATAATAATAATAATAATAATAATAATAATAATAATAATAATAATAATAATAATAATAATAATAATAATAATAATAATAATAATAATAATAATAATAATATCGTTGTTGAAGTCAATTACTCCGACACATAATTGTTTAGTATATCTCCTTTAAAACCTCCTTGAATATCTCTACCAGGTTATAATTTCTGACGTCGTTCTTTCTCTACGCTATGTCTGGCTTGTGTTTTGCTTTTAGCTTAGAATTTAGGTGAAAACATGTTGCTAGTCTTTTTTGTAATAACACAAGCACCCGCTTGTCTATTATTCCTGCACAACTTTGTATGGGTATATCTCTTTCTGTAACTTGCCCATAGTAATTTTAACATGTAGGAGTCAGAAGATTTCGTAATCTTGTTAAGTGTTTCTTTTGTAATATTTTTCCCCCTTGACGAAGAGTTTGCTTAGCCCGAAACATTTGGAATCCGTTTTGAATTTGTACCGTTGTCAATTTTTGTGTCTATATGTATGCTAGAGATATTATTTCATGCATTGCTTTGGGAGCATTATTCCAAACTATATTACAGCAGATCTTTAAAGACAATTCACCTGTCCACTGGGACATACACTATTTGATTTCAGAGAATACCAATACCTTATACAGTTACCTGTTTCAATGATGGCATCTAATTCATTAATAGCTTTGCATTCAACGCTTGAGATATACTCATTCAATAAAGAGGGCCCACAATGATTGCCTACCTGGAATTAATGTACGTTGTTTAACAGTAGATAATATATGAAATTCGACTATGTGAATTGTGTGGGGAAGAAAACCAATAAACTGTATTTAGAAGGATTGGCTCAGGTGTCGATCATTATATGGTCGATAAGGTGCATTTATAAGCGGATTGTCTGGTTACCAATGTACATATGTCTAGTGTTATTGGTAATGCAGTACAGGGGGTGGGGAGAGTAGTCTGAGTATGAAGATATGCTTAAAAAGTAATTATGACATAAGTGATGCCCGATAAGCAGCTATTTATGACGAAAGCAATGACGGAAATAAATATGCATTTTCGTAATAATAAGACACGATTTTCAGCTATACAAATTAAAATATCAACAATATGAACTACGTGGAATAGTTTCATACTCTCTTCTCATTCGTATTCCTGTATATGACGTACATATCTATCTATTCTCAATTGGTCATTAACATTTCTAACTGAATTTATTAATTTTTCTTATTTGTATCTATACCCACGTTCTTGGTGCCCTTGTATGGATTTAAGGCAAAATTCAAACAATATATAAGATTTTGGTCTAATATCTCTGTTATGCGAACCACCAGCGAAACTGAACTCCGTGCATAATGCTCTCTAAAGCACATCATTGTCTCACGTCTTTAGTTATTTTTAACCATATTTATTTGAGAAAGTTTGTCAAATGACATTAAAAATATATTTTGATTTTGGGGCAGGATTCAGGAGAATGCATAAGCTTATTAACACTGTCTCCTCAAATATATGAAGAGAAAATATAACATCATGGATATTTATGCCGGTAGCAATGGTTTTTATGGAAAATATGTATACACTTACAGACAAAGCATAACAATAAATGCAAGTTGCGATTCAAATGGTTTTTAGTTCAGTCAGTTAAGTAGATCTCTTAGTCTACTAATATAATGTTGCACATGTAAAAATATGTGTTGTTTTCTAGAGATAACACAGTTACCGAATAATAATGTTTCAGTCGTAACAGCGAAAGGGAGTGCGTATAAGGTTTGATCTCTAACAAGATCCATATGCGATTCGTAGAAGGTCAAAATGAATTGTAGAACAAGGTCATTCTACACATTGGGGAGGGTGGGGTGGGTGTCGACGATCTTTTGAAGATCGAATGGAGTAGGTTTCACACTCTCTAAATAGCGGTGCTTGTTTTAGTCCATGGTAAATTTTAAATATATGAAGCAGTTTATGCTTATAGAAGCGAGAGTTTGGGCTTTCTCCCCTAGTTTCATGGTATAATTGTGAAGGAGATGAACGTTTGGTTACACCCGTTATTATTTTATCGCCTCAACATTTATTTTTTTCTAGGAGTTCTGTATCATTCATTGTACACTTGTCTCATAGAGTGATCGTAGTCAAAAGTTGAAAGAATATAACAGATGTCCTAAGTTACTCAGTGCTCAAATGTCACACAAAACAATGTCAATAACAGTTTATCACAAATACAAAAAGTTATCATTAAATTACACTATGTCCATAACTAGTTGCAAAAAGAAGCATCCAGACTTTCCCTGCATGTGACCTATTCGATCACACTGTATAATTCACTGCAAAAAAAACCCACATGGATATATAAATATATACATGTCATAGTCATCGTTATTAATCTCGTAGCGCGATACTAAACTTTCCATTCACGATTAGTAAAAATTGTACTATCATGCAGAAATGCACACCGAATACATTTCTTAAGTATGCAGCTACTCGTATATCTTGCAAGATCAGTTTGCAATTTTTTCACATTTTTCTTTTACTTAATTTTAACCATACTCTTGCGAAAAGTGCTTTTTTACATATTAGCTGAAACACATAATGTAAGTACAGAGGTAGCAGCTGGCAGGGTCAACCCTACAAAGTTTTGCTCGAATCCTTAACGAAAAATAAAGGTTCCTACAGAGGCTGAAAAAAAGGTCAATAACACTAAACCAAAGTCTCTAACTAAATATATTTACATACGGTTACTTTAGCTCATTTTTGTTATACTATTATTGAAGTTATTTTGTCCTGCTTTGTAAGGCGATTTTTGTTTACCTGTAAAGCGACTCAATTGTCTTTCACCCTGCCTGCTGCTATGTATGTATTTTTTATCAAAAATAATCAGCGGTTATCCTTCATAGAATCACATATTAGCCATTGAGTCTCTCATGAGGTCCTAACATTTTATAATTGAATCGTCTCTCATATGACTTATTATGCGGCATCTCATGTGCTGTTTCTTTCGGCTATACACTCTTTCTGAGTGTTATTTTGAGGGTTCTTCCATAGGGCAGAGAGCTCAAGGCATGCTACTGATTATTTTAGGGAGGGGGTATTTTTCGCATAAACACATCACCTGGCGAATTTCTAATCGACGAAAGGCGAAATATTAGAAATTCAGAAGACTGTTTAGGCATTGCGGTTTCGATAAATACCCCACAGAAACAACCCGGGGTTAAGGATGCAAAACGCACCCATCTTTATGCCAGAATCCAGCATTCTTGCATTGATCTACGAAATTCAGTTACAAATACATGCTTGAAAAATTATTATATAGCTTGCTATTCACTAACACGAGGATATTACATTTCTAAGCATTATATTTCTCACTTTTATAATTGAATCTAGATATTTTGTGATTTATTAAAGATATATAGCTGCTGCACGTATAAAAGGATTCAATTATATCATACACACATTGTATAATCACAGTTCACATATCTGTGTGACTGATATAGGTCAACAAGTATAATCACAGCCGGATCGATAACGACAATATGGCTCATAATACAACAGCTGCTATGTGACTGATATATAATCACCGTGTTATTTACATTAATATCGGGACTTTTAAAAATAGATTTGGGCTTCTAAACAGACAGACAGACATAAGTTAACAGACATATAAACAGACAGACAGATACACTTTATTAAGCTTAAAATATGTTAGGTCTACGTCAAATATCACGCAGTTATGTAATGCGTACAGGTCATTAACATAAATGCTATTGATAGTTAAGGGGAACTAAACAAATGTTTTATCTAGACCTACACGATATCTTGATCTAGGATCGTATGTATAAATTAATATATAGAGTTTCGTTTCTTAAGTCACTAATATTTCCATCCTGATTTGTAAGTTTGAAATTCATTCTCGACAATAATGGATTATGTACACGCAAGTAGACTTGATTTATTGGCTGAGATACAATAAGCCACCCTGAGGGTGTTTGAATACTGGATGAATATAATATATATCCCCGCTGAGCCTGATTAGACTTAGAGAAATCAACGTGGTAGTTACTTTCAATTATATCGCATATTAAATTTAGTGCGATGGTGGATGTTATATTAACAATATTAGGCGAGATGTGACGACCTGTTCCATATGGGTCATTATTATATTTTTCGTTTAGGATTCGAGCAAAAATTTGTAGGGTTCGCCCTGCCTGCTGCTGAGGTCTACATATGTACTTCCAAACTGAAACACCTGTACATTTAAGCGACAACTTGTATGAGTTAAATAATTTAGAACTGTTGACTTTTTAAGTACTACAAGTGATATTTGGCTATAGCAAACCGACTCACCATGTTAACCCTATTTGCATTACCTTATTATGCTACTTTTGATGACAATGGTCATTAATTAAAAAAGACTTAAATATATATTATAGCAAATTTGGATTTAATTGATTCGCATGATATATCTTAATATCAATAAACTATTATGCAGAACTTGTTTTCTGAAAGATTTTAAGAGTAGTCTAAACCATTACGCCACTGTACATAGTATTATCTCTAAAACCTCGTTACTGCTGAGATGTTCCGATCCATTAACGATGTAAGTCGTTTCATTCTGGATAGAAAGTGACAATTTTGAAATAGTCTTAGATACGTGTGTGTGTCTGTGTGTGTGATTTAGATTTTTAACGTAGCTTAAACAATTTATCAGTCATATCGCTACAATGTGTGCAGTGTGATAGTTTATAGTGATGTCAAGCACTGGAGCATCATGCTGCAGACATGTGGCATGATGTCCCACACAGTCACATTATCCTAACACCAGGCCAACAAGTCCTAACACTAACCACTTAATGCTGAGCGCCAGGTGAGGCAGCTGTTAGTAACATTTTTTTAAAGTCACTGGTATGACTCGGCTGGGGTTCAAACCCACGACCTCCCGCATCGGAGACGGACGCTCTAACCACTAGGCCATCGGAGCGGTCGTAGATAAGATGTTGCATTTTAATCCTTGTGGTGGAGGTGGTGGGAAAACCGGATTTATCATCACACATTCAACCTTGAATAGTAACTAGCAGATAGTTCCAAAATGTTAGAAGTGTAAAAATGGATTTTAATAGAAATTCATAATCGTATGTAAATTGTGTATTCAGTTGATATGCTAAGCACATGATGAACCATTCTTATGTGTCGCTCACATCCTTTATAACAATAAATAAACATATTTAGTCAATACATATTTCCGATGCCTTGTTTAAAATAATGAAATAGATAATAAATAAATAATATCATGAATTATTAAAACAACATAGACTATAGATAAGTCTCTACTAAATTTTCTCGACGAACTAATGAAGAAAATTGAGAGACCATCCAGTCAGCTTGATATAGACGAGCGTGATGATTCTATTTACAAATTGGAGACAGTGTGCACAGAATACATCAGTCACGAAACAAAAGAACAAGCCAGAAAATGCGTGATGATTCTATTTACAAATTGGAGACAGTGTGCACAGAATACATCAGTCACGAAACAAAAGAACAAGCCAGAAAATGCGTGATGATTCTATTTACAAATTGGAGACAGTGTGCACAGAATACATCAGTCACGAAACAAAAGAACAAGCCAGAAAATGCGTGATTCTATTTACAAATTGGAGACAGTGTGTACAGAATACATCAGTCACGAAACAAAAGAACAAGCCAGAAAATGCGTGATGATTCTATTTACAAACTGGAGACAGTGTGCACAGAATACATCAGTCACGAAGCAAAAGAACAAGCCAGAAAATGCGTGATGATTCTATTTACAAATTGGAGACAGTGTGCACAGAATACATCAGTCACAAAACAAAAGAACAAGCCAGAAAATGCGTGATGATTATATGTACAAATTGGAGACAATGTGCCCAGAATACATCAGTCACGAAACAAAAGAACAAGCCAGAAAATGCGTGATGATTCTATTTACAAATTTTAGACAGTGTGCACAGAATACATCAGTCACGAAACAAAAGAACAAGCCAGAAAATGCGTGATGATTCTATTTAAAATTATGAGACAGTGTGCAAAGAATACATCAGTCACAAAACAAAAGAACAAGGCAGAAAATGCGTGATGATTCTATTTACAGATTGGAGACAGTGTGCACAGAATACATCAGTCACAAAACAAAAGAACAAGCCAGAAAATGCGTGATGATTCTATTTACGAATTGGAGACAGTGTGCACAGAATACATCAGTCACGAAACAAAAGAACAAGCCAGAAAATGCGCAATAAGAAGAAAGCTTCTGGATGTTGTAATGTACATAATCTGTAAGATAATATTACTCTTGTAAGTTCTTTACAGAAATCATGCCGGCTGGAACGTCTGAAACGGATTTGTATATATAAAGCCACAGTGATATTCACGCTTTCAAATGAAAGATAACTGATGTGATAGATGGCAAAAATGGTTGCTATGATTACAGGGTACACGAATCATTATCTTGGATGGTAAGTGGAATGGTTTACGCGGGTTTGCTATCGCTGGAGACAGGATATAATGTCTCTCTCTAAAGATAACTATTAATAGCTATCAAATATCCTTGCAACATAATATTGTGATTCTCGTATGGAAAGCGCTTTTTTTGTTTTTGTTTGGTATCACGGGAGGTAGAATGAGATTTGTCTCCACGGTATATGCATTGTCAGAATGAGATTTGTCTCCACGGTATATGCATTTTCAGAATGAGATTTCTCTCCACAGTATATGCATTGTCAGAATGAGATTTCTCTCCACGGTATATGCATTGTCAGAATGAGATTTGTCTCCACGGTATATGCATTGTCAGAATGAGATTTCTCTCCACGGTATATGCATTGTCAGAATGAGATTTCTCTCCACAGTATATGCATTGTCAGAATGAGATTTGTCTCCACAGTATATGCATTGTCACTTAATATGCTGCTAGACTTGTGACAGAAATCCATACCATCCTTTGCCTCAGGGGCTTGCAGCCAGAAGTTGCAAAACACTGACTGGAAAGTTATAGGAATTTCAACTGGCCAACAAAGAATTGAGAGAGAAAATTAAGGTGATTTATCTGCAACTTATTATTTATATGTCATAATTTTCGCATGTGAAACTAATTGGAACTGGAAAGAAGAATTTCACTTTCTAAGGCCTAGTGTCTTCTCGTCTGGTCATTAAACTGGTCTGAGATTGCTTGTATAGCGTCAGTGAAACTCCTTTTCTCAGGAAGTCATCTCTCGTACATTTCAGTCCTGTTTCCATATTTTATTAAAGCAGCATTTTCTTGGTTGATTAAGGTTATTAATAGTGCCCTATGGCAGCCACAGAACCTACTTGTATTTTTGCCATCGAAGGAATAAAAATAAAAATCAACCTGTCAATGCCGTCCATATAATTCGTAGCATACGCAACGGAAATTTGCAGGACACCAATGCCATTATACCCACGTTGAACAGACCAACATCAACCCAAATAGTAAACATTGGTTTTTACAATTGAGATCGAGATATGCATCCTATATCTATTTCGATTTTTCAAGTATTAGCAGTAAGGTCTTCATGATGACAGATGTTCCAAAAGCCCAGTATGCAGCTGATGCGGAGACCCATCTCGACGGGAATCCAAGTGCAGAGCCACTCCCACAGGACCAAATGAGGAAAGGAGCACCACCATGTTATGTGTATGTAATTTAAAAATTTTCTTTTTTAGTTTTAATTTTTTTCTTATTACATTACATGCTATTGTAATGACAAGTTTGTTTACTGTATTTGTTATTTTATTTTTGAAATTTAGTTCATTTCTGTTTGACCTAATAAAAAGGCAGTAGTTGAAACATTGTATCTAGGTTCTGACATTGATTCAGAAATCAGATAAAGTTCTAGTAAACAACCGTTTTTTTAGTCATTCTAAGAGTGAGATTATTTCAGTGGAATCAAGGCCATACCTAGAGTACATGATAATTAGTATGTAAAATTATTGTACATTGTTCTAAGTGACCATGTGACCCTCATACGGAAATCTGTTTTGTGTTTTAACTTACTGTATAACCGTTTTCTTGAGACGAACTGGCCAGTTGGACTTTAAATCTTTGACACTTAAAGGTGTTTTGTTGTGACCAGTTTGAGTTCAGTTTTAATTTATGGAATTACTGATTCTTTCCCTGGAAAATTCTAGTGTTCACAGAGGAATTCTGGGACAATGAAATTAATAGAAATTTATTCAAAAATTCTAAACTGGAATATTATTTTCTGTGACTCAAGAACGAACGGTTGACTCGGCAACACTCTGAAGGTCACTATATACTTCATCATCCTCTATTTTGATTTCACAGGGAATCGAACACAGATTCATTTAGGACCTTTCTTTCATAAGACTTCTATTTTTTAACTTGGATTAATTTTTTGGATGGATTTAATTCATAAACCGTTGAATCCTTTTTCATTTTTATCTTGTTTCATTTTCTAGCGAAATTAATTGTTTGTTAAATTTTTCACAGCTTATTTTCTTCACACTTTTCCTGTTAATTTTAGAAAGAGCTTAGACAACCAACAACACCAATTCAAGGGACCGGAAACCTAGAAACAGAAGAAAGAAATAGAAAGTGTGAAATACTTATTCAATATCCTTTTCTAGAGGCCAGAAAAGTTGTTTATGCTGGAATATCCCTACTATATTCTCAACTAGAGCGAAGACCAGTCCGACAAAAATGAAGGACGCACAGATTGAAACAAGCACCTGCCCACGAACAATTTATCAACAACCACAATCAATCCACATTACAAGGAAAACCCTATCCACGTAGACAACACTCAATGACACCCCAACACCAAAATCACTGAACAACAAAATTAATCAGTAATCAAATAGGCAACAAAAGGTATCCAATGACCAAATAAAGCAACATGAAAGGTTTTGCTACCTCTTCAAGGCTTTGATGCAGAGGAAGATACTAAATGTGCTCAAGGCAGCTCCAGACTTACAAACAAAAATAAAGAATTCAGAAATTTGTCATTCCTGAAAATATTATGATGGATTCCAAGACAGCTGAAGCAGCGGTTGTACTTAAAATGCTATATATAGAGATATGAAGAAAGGGTGAAAAAAAATAGCGGAAGCTCATCACAATTAAACTTTCGTAGCTTGACCATAATGATATATATTATTATCATATTATAGTTTTAGCATCTCTCCTTCACAAGGACTGCACAGATAAGCTCGTGCAAGTGATAAATGAGTTGACGATAGGGACATGTTCTCTGATTTATCGAAGCTCATTAGACAGGAGCTGGAAGACATGTTGGTAATTGTTACATTCCTGATAATCAGGACCTAATCCAAATATGAAGGGTTTTTTTCACCCCATGATATACAAGAAGTCAGGGCAACCTAGGAGAACTTTGCAGAACTAACTCAATCAATAAGGTAACCGTTGCTCTGTGCGTTATATTTATATGTAGATACGTTTATGAAGGTTATCCATCTCTGATAGTTTATTATTCATTCTTGAATCGATCCCAAACACCAATCATCAGCATCTACACAACATTATATGACCGATTCTGAAAGAGACATTGAAAAATACGTCGCTTTGGACGTTGTCTTCCAGGTGTTTCTCCAGATGCGATTCACAAAATTCGTTGCTGCTTTGATGCTATTTTTTCCAGTTCTCTCTTCTATGCTTCCTTTTTGAAGTTTCATTGTTTTTTTAGTTTAGTAAACATTGAAAAATGTGCGATATTTTGAAAAGGGCGTAAACGTTTGGCAAAAGGCTTGTATATGTTCAAGAGACACGTGTTTTTAACATCCTATATTTAGTTGATGCATGTCATAAATTGTTAGGCAGATTACAAGAAACGCTCAAATCATTATCACAAAAGGCCAAGTTTTGAAGGTATGACAACATGTATAGGTATGACAACATGTATAGGTATGACAACATGTATGGATATAACATGTATAGGCATGACAA